CAGATATATGCTTAGTTCATGATATTGTTATTATTTACGATGTTTTACATTAGTATAAGTTTCCACGGAGCACAGTGCCTAGTGCTCACGCCCCAGTTGTATCTTATTTTTCAGGTCAGCAGGTCGGGCCAGCGGTGTGACATGACGGAGCAGCTCGGGACTTTCAGGACATTTGTTTATATGTTTTTGGACTGTATAACTAATATTTACGCTTCCGCTTACTTCTGAACTATCTTTTGACGATGGTTTGATGATTTTGACAGTTTTATCGTACTTTGACGAACTTTTCAGGAAAATAAAGTTATAAATAACTGAACGTTTTAATAAGTTAAAACAACGGTTTTTCTAAAGATAAGTAAAGATTTTCACGGTAGCACCCCAAATCAGTTTCGCAAAGTAAAAATGTTTAGTTTTCACAGACTTTGCGATTAAAAGCGCAACTCTGATTTTCTAGTAAGGCGGGGTGTTACAATTGGTATCAGAGCACGTTTCTGCGTCTCTGATAAGTTTTCAGTCAGATAAGCTTTCAGTAAGTAAGTCTTCAGATAAGTTTTCAGTAAGTAAGTTTTCAGTAATTTTTAGAAAGTTTTCAGAAAAGTTTACAGTCCGAGATTTTTTCAGTAAAACCCGAAACCGTCATGTTCACGCCCCGCCGACAACAGGTAAGTGCTGTTGCAATTCAGTTTCAGTTATTATAAACATATTACTTTGTCTATGCTCAGAATTGAGGATCAAAACTATAGTTAAGATGCTCGAATCAGATTCAGACTCTAGAGGTTGGACATGATTTTAGAATTCAGGCATTCAGATATGACTCTAGACGTTAGGGTTTTCCCGAGATAACTCTAGAGTTCTTCAGGTTTCAGTCAGTAATTATCAGCCAATTTTGGGCAACTCGTCAAGAGATCTGTGTGCCTAGTAATCAGTCAGTAATGCTATTGCACATTCAGTAATGTTAAATCTTTCTTAATGTTCAGATGCCGCCACGTGGAGAGCCCGTTCAGCGTGGTCCTACTCAGGCTACGGTAGTCACCCAGTTCCGCGACTATCACGCAGAGAAGTTTTCAGGTCAGGGCGATCCCCGGATCGTCGATGAATGGATTCAGGGGTTGGAGTTTATCTTCGAAGTAATGGATTGCCCCGATAGATTTCGCGTAGTCTGCGCTCAGCTTCAGCTCACTAGCGACGCGAGGCTCTGGTGGAACTCCTACTGGAGCATGCGCCCCGGTGAAAAGGCGGGTTGTACATGGGACATGTTTAAGGACCTTGTCCGCGACAAGTATTACCCTTCATACTATCGGGCAGAGATGGAGCGCCAGTTCTTAGCGCTTCAACAGGGCACTCGTACTGTCGATGAGTACGAGCGTGAGTTCACCAGGCTTGCAGGTTTTGCACCGGATCTTGTTCGCACGGAGGCCCAGCGAGCTCAGAGGTTCATTGACGGACTATACCCAACAGTCCGTCATAACATTGTGGGACACGGGACTCAGACATATGCACGAGCCGTCTCTATCGCACAGGAGGTTGACGCGAGTATTAGGAGGGAGGCCGTTCGTGATCGTACTCAGCCAGTTGCCCCAGCTCAGCCCGTTGCAGTACCACCAGCTCTACCAGGTCCGCAGCCAGCAAAGGACAAGAAGAGGAAGGCGAAGGGTGCACAGGCAGACCGGAGGACGAGACAGAGACAGATTCCACCATGCCCGACTTGTGGCCGTCTTCACAGGGGAGAGTGTCTTGCCGGACAGGATATTTGCTACTTCTGCCAGGAACCGGGACACTTCGCGAGTCGCTGCCCGAAGAAGCTTCAGCAGCAGCCTCAGCAGCCACAGCCACAGCAGCCACGACAGCAGGCACAGAGACCGCAGCAGCAGCAGCAGCAGCAGCAGCAGCAGCGAGGAAGGCAGCAGGCCAGGGTCTATGCGGTCGACCAGGCAGAGGCAGCACAGCAACTAGGTACAATGTCCGGGATGATCGTTCTTAATGATGTTCCTGTATTCGCTTTATTCG